AAATGTCATCGCTGTCCAGCCCGCTCTAAAGACTGGAACCAAGTGGAGAGTCCTCGATGCGATTGAATCTGCTCAGAACGCAATAAAATTGAAGGAGATTATGGGTTACACACAAACCGACCGTCGAGGCCTAGGGCACTGGAAGGTCAATTGGTGGTCAAAAGCCTCAGCCAAAGAGCGCCGAGACATGGTGATACAAACGGTGAGGGACAACGAAAACGAGGTTCGGGTCCAGAAAGCAGCCCAGCAGTCGCAGCAGGGCCATTGGGTCAGCCTGGAGAGCGCATTGCCGAGAATACTCACATGGGGTGAGATCTGGCGGGTGACCCCGCTGCGACTGGGCTTTATCGTTCGTTCGGCGTACGATGTATTACCGTCCGGTGTTAACATGGTTAAATGGTCTGCGACCAACGATCCGACTTGCCCGTTGTGCAAATCAAAGCAAACTCTTGAGCACGTCCTGTCCGCGTGCAGGAAAGCTCTAGGTCAAGGCCGCTATACCTGGCGCCACAACAAGGTGCTAAAGGAGTTAGCAGCCGTTGTCGACCAGGCTAGAATGAGGGCTAATGCCAGAGCCAGTTCTAGTATCGTCCCCATTCTTTTCCTCAAGGCTGGGCAGGTTCCAAAAGGTAAGGTCAACCAAAACGCATTCGCTCCATCTGTGCTAGACTCTGCGAGGGACTGGTTACTGGCGGTTGATCTGCCAGGACATGAACGGTATCCCGAGTTGATCCGTAAAACCGGCCTGCGACCGGACATCGTTCTCCATTCTGCGCAAAAACGGCAACTCATCCTGATTGAGTTGACGGTCCCGTTTGAGTCGCGTATGGAGGAGAATCATTTGTATAAGCTCGAGAAATACAGTGATTTAGCAGCCGGTTTGAGGAAAAACGAGGCCTACACAGTACGGGTTTTTGCCGTCGAAGTGGGAGCGAGAGGCCTCGTTTCCACTTCGCTCTACAATGTGGTAAAAGAATTAGGATTGCGCGGTAATGAACGGAAACGAGCACTCAAAAAACTGGGAGAGGCAGCCGAAAGGGCCTCTAGCTGGCTTTGGACGCAGCGCAACAACGTAGGGGACGGGCCCCGGTGAGCTGGTACGGGTGTCTAGCGGAAAGGAGTTTCTCATCCCTTTGAAAGTCCATCGTGTACGAATTGTCTGCCAGTGTCCCTCTGCCAACTGCTAATAAAAGTCTAACATGTGTCCGGTAAACCAAAATAAGCTTGTCGCTCGGTCGTCCAGGCATGCGGACTGTTCTAATTACGCTGCCGTGGCGGCTTCTTATCTCACAGTACCTCCTTCGAATCCACTAAGTCGTCTTGTCTCTGGCCGAAATAATAACACCATCCGGTAATTCTGTGCAGCGGGGAAGCAGCCCTGAGCTTCATGAACTCAGGTGGGCCCACCTCCGAATACGTTTAGGAATCGTGGGCCGAAACGTGTGTCGAAAGAGGATAATTTCTACTGATGACTGTAGATCCCCGCTGTACTTGCTCCCTGTGAGTTTATTCTTATTGCCAGATCAGAGTAGTAGTACATTTTACCCCACTAGGACATCACACTAGCTATAAACGCCCAATGACACAAAGTGTCACCATGTGGATGAGGATCACCCGTGGAGATGTCCCAGAAACAGCGTACACCTATTAGACCATATTTACGGCCGGGCTATATTGCGGCAAGAGCAAAGGTGGGCATCGAAATAACGAAAAAATGCAGCCCGGTTACTAGTTATAACGCCATCTGTTTCATGGATAAAGGTTTTGTTTTTGCATTTCTCGACTTAAGCCAACCTACCACCTAAATGTTAAAAATAAAGGACCATTTTTGACGCTTTCAGGCGTATTGGGCAAATAGGGCTAAATTTATATTTTTTATACAAATCGGCACTTGGTGGGTGATGTGGTCAGCAACACGCTGGCAGCGTTTACTTCCCGGGACTGCACCTGGTACCCAATCAAGGCTGGGTGGACGTAGGAGCCAAGGTCATTTTTGAAGAAGACAAACAGTCCGGCTCCGTCAATGAAAGATCTAGAGCTCTGACAACCACAGTATTCACCTCAGATTTACAACGCTTTTGTAAATCTCAAATAGCCATGATCCCAAAGGGGAATTCTTGAATTTGAACAAGTGCAATGTGATACGAACGCAGCAGTGCGAGTCCGAAGTATGAAAGCTGATTTATGCGAAGACATTCATACTTCGTGTTTACATATTCTGGCCTCAGTCATTGCGCAGTGTGTTACTGTTTCGTTTTAAATACTGTGCTGTTTCCGACGTAAAACGGACTTTTCTCATGTCCTCACAGATACCCTCACACTTTAATAAAAAATATCTAAAACTCCATTACGAATCAACTTTGCGTGTGGCCTTAAATTTCCTTTGTCCTTATTATTTTATAATATACAATTGTACAGGTGCTGTCGTTTTCTTATAGCACGAATTTATTTGATCTGTATTTAACCAATAATTTTTGTAAGCCTGAAAAAAAAAAATATGACGAAAACATTCAAAACACGTGTCTTCGACAAAAAATCTTGAGACCTCAGGCACACACAAAAAAACAATTAAATCGGAAAGCCTGAAACGAAACTCTTAATTAAGAAAACTAGTGACGGTTTCCGTGTGTGGCTTTTGTGACATCTCTGGGTGCGCTGGGATATCAAGTGTTCTTGTATGTACGTAACATCGCTAGCCAGGGTAGGTCTTATTTTCTCACCTCATGGCTTCCTGGTATGAACAAATGTTTTCATCTGGCTCTTTGGTAAGTATGCCAGCACTTGTGTGTGTATATGTGTGTGTGTAAATGAGTCAAGTTTGTAAGTTCACGAAGTATGTGTGAATGAGTCTAGTTTGTAAGTTCACGAAGTATGTGTGAGTGAGTAAAGTTTGTAAGTTCACGAAGTATGTGAGAGTGAGTCAAGTTTGTAAGTTCACGAAGTATACCAAAATATGTACAAACGGTAGTCTGTGTGCGTGAGAAAGAGAGGGAGAGAGAGAAAGAAAGAGGGAGAGTGAGAGAGAGATAAAGAGAGAAAAGAGAGAGAGAAAGAGACAGGTGATACCGAAACCTAACGACTCAAGCAGAATTCAGATCCCTCCCCCTCCACCCCCCCCCCCCCCCCAAACCCCAAACCTCATGTCTTTAGAAAACGTTATCAAGGTTAAGCTTTCAGAGTTGTGGCAACGCCAAACCAGAGCCGCTGCTCAATTTAAATTATTTATTTTTTTTTTAGAGTGTGCTTGAATTTTAGATTTGCAAATTAAAGGTTGTGCTTGATTTAAAGCTGTTTCCTAAAGTTAACACTACAGCCCCTTGTTGGAGGGGGGGGGGGGGTCCAATGCGGTCCAACTGCTTCGATTAAAATGTATTTTCTGGACGGGGAGTGTCGCTGGGGCGGTACAGGGGGCGGTAGTAGCCACAGATGTATCATCATTATGTTTGTTCGATTACGTAAGCTGTGTATGTGTGTGTGTGTATGTGTGCGTGTGTAAGATATATCTAGAACAGTGGGGAGATATGAGAGGAGGCGGGGGGCACGGAGATAACCACCTTGATTGCTTGGCCACATGCATGGTGCAGGAAGAAAATAGTGACCTGATCCATAATTCTGGTGATAGTATAGGAATTCGAACCATGACCGTGTTTGCTTATCGGCATGGCACATGATAATGATGATGATGATGATGATGATGATGATGATGATGATGATGATGATGATGATGATGATGATGATGATGATGATGATGATGATGATGATGATGATGATGATACTTCCAAGGAGATGGGGCGCTAAGGAAATTTTAAACTAAAACAGAGGTGGTGGGCCTAAACGGTTCGGGAACCTATGATTTCAAATATCAGTAATAAATCCTATTATCCTCCTCTTTTTTTCCAATGCAAAACAAAGTTGAAGTGACTACTGACTTTATTTCGGTAAATACACACGAGGGACAATATGAGACATGTTATATTTCCCGATGATATAAACGTAAAATTTCTCGTACTTTTCACACAAAGGAGGTATTTGATATGGTTTAATCGTAGATATATGTTAAAGTTCCATTACGAAAACAGATTCTTATGCAGACCGATGAAGCGGGGACGAAGAGTGAGAGATAATATCCAGACAGACATGCAAACACTTAGTGTCACCAACTGGAAAGAGAAGACCAGACAGAAAGATGAATGAAGACGGGCGATATCTGCAGCAATGAACCTCAAGAACTCTTGAATTCTCAAGAAGAAGAGGAAGACGAAGATATACGGTCAATCGAATTTTATTACCTTTTTGTTTGGAAGCCAGAGGGTTTATTCTTCCCCACCCCCACAAAAGAATAGCACCCAGGGACCAACACAGGGACTTTGGGTAACTCATACTTAGGACTGAATTACCTAATGCCATGCACGTAACACGAAAAGAGTTAAAACAAAAGAAGATTGCACGCTTGTGTTTGGAATAAATAACTCAAAAACATAAAATACACAACCCACCTTTTCATAGTTGTCGTGTGTCGCGCCAAGAAGCTTGCGAAATCATAGTTCTTAATATTTTTCAAATGTGCTTCCTCTTGTGACATATTCTACCGATTCAGTCTGACTAACGTGGCACAACTTATAATATAGTAGAATTTATTATACTAAAATTACGCGAGGAGGAGAAGAAGCAGAGATAGAAAAAACGAAGAAGACGAAGGAAGAAGAAGAAGAAACAGAAGAAGAAGAAGAAGAAGAAGAAGAAGAAGAAGAAGAAGAAGAAGAAGAAGAAGAAGAAGAAGAAGAAGAAGAAGAAGAAGAAGAAGAAGAAGAAGAAGAAGAAGAAGAAGAAGAAGAAGAAGAAGAGAAGAAGAACAAGAGCAAGAACAAGAACAAGAACAACAAAAATAAAAAGAACAATAAGAAAAACAATTAAAAAAAAGACGAAGAATGTGAGGTGGAGATACTTATACAATATAATAATTAAATGCTATCGTTCTTTTTCCAGATATTTAAATAACAATGGGAAATAAATGCTGCAAAAGCGAAAAAATAAAAGAGAAGCCAGAGAACCCTTCTCTGAAATTAATCAGGGAAGCGCAGCTAAAATATTACAACAGCCACATCGAGAGTGACAGCGATGAAGACGACGACAAAGACGAGAGCACAGATGAAGGACTATCTGGTTCCGAGGGCAGTCAGCAATCACTTGACAACGCTGCTATGGAAACCTCCCTGATGGCTGACTGCGAAAGTGCTCTGCAGTCAACATTTGATATCAATGTAGAGGACATGTCGTCGTGTGTATTAAGAAGTTATAGAATCAATAATAATGATAACATAGAAAGCCAATTGGATGGTGATGCAATAACTTCATGCAGTACTGGAGATGGAGCCGGTTCAAAACCGGCGGGAGATAAGGGCAAACACTACGTAAAAAGACGCCACAATGCTAAGTACATTCGACTGAGCAACAGTAGAGATTTTTACTCCATCTTCAACACGGAAGATAAGAAAGCCAGGTCGGTGGATCCCAAGATGTACCAGTACCCCTTTGAAAACATCGTATTTGAAGGCGGGGGAAACAAGGGATTAGCTTACTGTGGTGCGGTCAAGGTAAGTCAGCATGTTGTTTATGGTTTCTGTATTAATTACAGGTGGTGATGAATTTCAGTCTAATCTTTATTTTGTTTGGAGAATGTGACTGTCCATGCATTTAAAGATCTCGTTAAACCAGGGCGTTTGGAACTGGGCCGCCACCAAAAAAAATTTTTTTTTCAAATAGTATCCAATTTGTTTTATTGTTGTTTTAAATATGCACTAAAACACACCAAAAAGTACAGTTTTTAATTAAAAAAAAAAAACAGTAAAACTTCTTTAAAACACACATGAACACGCACACACACACACACACACATAAATAAATATATATCACTGCCACAGATATATATATATATATATATATATATATATATATATATATATATATATATATATATATATATATATATATATTGTGTGTGTGTGTGTGTGTGTGTAAATATGGCTTTCGTTATAGTTGATCAGAATTGAAATGCTTTATCTGTTGAGATACTATTTTTTTCTCTGAGTGTGTTGCAAAGCTGTGGCAGTGGTTTCCATTAGGTACAAATAGTATCTTATAGCGATAACTTCGACTTAATGCATTTATTGTTAGTCTTTAAAAAACGTTGGTTATTTTTTAATATCCTACCCCCAGCTGATGTCACAGGACAGTCCAATATTTTAGAGGGTTGTAAGACTTGGTTCCCCGCCTTCTGATGCTTTTAACAACCCCAAAACATCTAGAACTGGCCCTAACCCCAACCCACTTACTTCCCACGACTGCATGCTGCCCATCTACCACACCCTGAAATATTAGACTCTCCGGTGACCTGTGGATTTCCCCTGTTTGGGGTATATATATTAGTAAAGCATCACAATATTTCATCTTAATATTTAAAAATTGGTAAATATTGCGGACACAAATATTACAAAGCATAATTTATAACCAGAGGGTCTTGCCGGCTGACTACACTCAGAGGAAAGGCAAGACGGACATTTAACCAGATTGTGACTGTTATCATCAGTATTGGAAATCTGCGCTGGCTGCTGAAGATATGGATGGAGCATGCATGAGAATGCCCTGAGTGCTGTGATGTCAATTCTTGACTCAACTCAACTCACCCCCAACCTGTTAATTGTATAAGTAGACCAGGTTGCACGCTTTAATCATTTATTATTATTGTCTTAAAAAGTATTTCCTTTTCTTTATGCATTTCATTTTATTTGAAATGTAATGTATTTTGTACCATTCAGTATTATTATTATGCTCTTATAGTAGATTAGGCACCTCTCACCTCTTTTTTCATCAGCGACCGGGTCGCCCATTGCCTTGCCGGTAGACTTCGTCACCGGTAGACTTCGTCGCCGGTCGGAACATTATTTGGGGCTGTCTTCTTTGTTCGCTTCAACACTGAGGGAATTCTGTTCAGGTCTCTTAGTGGTGTGCAGTGTTGAGCCATTTTATCTGGCGCACCTAACCTAGTCAAATTTATAACCTAAAGATACTTCGTTTGGGATGCTGGTTGAAGGTGACGATTTTTTCAGAAAAGCACCTACTCTCCACCTGCCCTGTTTGCTAATAATTCTGTTTGGCGACGTATAACTCTTTCTCCAGCAGCAAAAGTCTTTTGGCGACGTATAATTCCGTCTCCAGCAGCAAGTCTTTTGGCGACATATACCTCCGTCTCCAGCAGCAAAAGTCTTTTGGTGACGTATAACTCCGTCTCCAGCAGCAAAAGTCTTTTGGCGACGTATAAATTCGTCTCCAGCAGCAAAAGTCTTAAAGTATGGATGCCGACTGTTATAACAGCACACCGGTTGTGCCCACGTACCTCTCCCAGACGTCATTTACACGAGTTATTTTCGCCTAAAACTGTAAGTTCAATCAACATTCGCCTATCAATGGTCTTCTTTTTCCCGGCTCTCTAGCGTAGTTGGCTAAACCTGACTTCGCGGTGAGCGGGTGACGAACTCCTTGTGGTCCGGGTTCACTCCCGGGAGTAGGCAGAAAAACCACATTTCCCCCAGATTCACAGTACCTAACATAGAATCAAGGCCGAAGGGTTGCGATATCTATAGTACCGAGCCAAAGGGTTAACAACTAAAAAAAATATCAATAGTCTTCAGAATGTCTATCTTATCCAAAATCAGTTTTCCTTAAGCTTCTCTTGTTGTAGCCAACACATCAGCTGCCTCGTACTCCTGCATATAGCAGACAGCAAATCCACATGAGTTCATCCAGTTTGATATCAAAAAAAGATAAAAAACCAAACTATAAATATTTTAGAAAGCTTCACAATATAACATATATAAACAAAACGTGTCCCAGCTTGATAGCATTTCTCAAACTGTTTAGACAAAGCTTTCCAAACTGTGGGTCGCGACAAATTAGTGTGTCGACTGCTGTGTGTGGGGCTATACCTCATGCAAAGAATTAATCTAGGGGGGCTGCGTGGTCTCAAAAAGAGTAGCCTAATGGCGCTGCCAGGGCAAAATTTGGAGTTTGAAAAATTCTGCCGAAAGTATTTCAGTATCCTCGCTGGTGCTTAGAGTCTGTGCACTGTGCTGAGCTTCTCCAGAATCAGACTTGAGTTAGAAGAAGAGTGGAGCACGTATGGATTACAACCTGTGTGTTTTATGATGTTGATCCGTTGTTCAAAAACCTCAAAAACAAAGAATTAATCTCTGGTTTGCTAGTTAACGAAATTACGGTGTCGAGAAATTATGTTTGTCCAGAAAAGCTTGTCAACAAAATAAAAAGTATAAAAATCTCGAATTAAGATGGTCTATAAAGAAAGATATTCCTTAACTCTTTGAGTCCTAGGGCGTTTAGCATCACAGGCCCAGGGGGTAGTAAAGAGAGTCATAAAATCGGCGCATCCTGCGTTCATTGGGCTTCTAGGTACAAACCTATGAACGTATGATGCGTTCCTTGGGACTCAAAGAGTTAAGCAGTTACACTCCAGTTCTAGACGCAGATGTTTCTATCCTGTGCTTCGTTCTCCAGTGACTGACTACTTTGCTCCGGATGTACACGGTCAACTTCTGCACATTTATTAATCATTTTAATCAGCAGAAACATGGATTTCCCACCCTAAGGAAATCCCCCTACACTACAGTGCTAGTCAACAGGTAAAGCCAAGGTGAATATTAGCTTTGTTATTATGTCGGTGCCACTGTGGCGAAGGGGTTAGCACAGCCAATCTCTCTCTCTCTCTCTCTCTCTCTCTCTCTCTCTCTCTCTCTCTCTCTCTCTCTCTCTCCCTCTCTGTCTCTCTTGTATCCCACCAGGGCATCACACAAGCGATAAACACCAGGTGACACAAAATGCCACCATGCGGATGAGGATCACCTGTGGAGAGGTTACAGAAACCCTACTCAGCTGTTAGGCAAAAGCCAGGGTGGGACTTCAAATAAAGAAAAATTGCGTCCCACACGGGGACGACTAATAATTATAGCCAATCTTCTTCTTCTTCTTCTTCTTTGCCTTCACCAGCTAACTCTGGTGGAAAGTTTTGGTTGTTCATCGACTTCTGGACTGCAGTCCTGTTCCAGGACTTGAGCGTTACGTGTGCATCCGTTTGACAGATCTGACACATTTGTGTGCGGACTGTTGGTTCCTTGTCTCTCAGGCAGATGCACTCCGACTTCGAAGGAAGCTCCCAATTAGTCGACTCTACGACATGCTTTTGGGTAAGCAGTGGGTCTATTCTTGTTTTACCTATAACAGGGCCCCGGAACCCATACGGGTAGGCAGTGGGTCTATTCTTGTTTTCCGTATAACAGGGCCCCGGAACCCATACGGGTAGGCAGTGGGTCTATTCTTGTTTTGCCTATAAGAGGGCCCCGGAATCCATACGGGTAGGCAGTGGGTCTATTCTTGTTTTCCCTATAACAGGGCCCTGGAACCCATACGGGTAGGCAGTGGGTCTATTCTTGTTTTCCCTATAACAGGGCCCCGGAATCCATACGGATAGGCAGTGGGTCTTTTTTTGTTTTCCCTATAACAGGGCCCCGGAACCCATACGGGTAGGCAGTGGGTCTATTCTTGTTTTCCCTATAACAGGGCCCCGGAACCCATACGGGTAGGCAGTGGGTCTATTCTTGTTTTCCCTATAACAGGGCCCCGGAACCCATACGGGTAGGCAGTGGATCTATTCTTGTTTTCCCTATAACAGGGCCCCGGAACCCATACGGGTAGGCAGTGGGTCTATTCTTGTTTTCCCTATAACAGGGCCCCGGAACCCATACGGGTAGGCAGTGGGTCTATTCTTGTTTTCCCCATACGGGGGTATAGCCAATCTATCTCGCGTTTATATATGGTCGGTGTCGTACTGCGTCTTGCAGTTTGAGAGTTCAGGTTCATTGAAGATCCCTAGATGTCATCGCTGCAGCTGGCTAGCAGTGAGAATAAGCTATATGGGACTGTACCGTACACCAGTGTTTCCCACCGTGGGACCTATACCGCACGATTTTTGAGGGGTTGGGGTGGGGGGGGGGGGGGGTCAATTTGATTGTCAAGAAGGTCAATATGATTGTTAAAAAGGGGGGGGGGGTGGAATTTGGACTCGTCCAGGGTTTAAGTTACACAGGGGACGTAAGAATTGTGAAAGCTTTGATTGGGGCATGGCACACAAAAAGGCAGGGAAATACTGCCATATACCAATTTAAATCTGTTCCTGACGTCATGCCTAACTTGAGAAATATGTTACTAAGCAACCGTCAGGTGTAAGTTGTTGAGATTTGGCATGCAGCTTGTTAATATTCATGTAAAGAAGTAGTTAAGGACCCTTTTTCAACGCCTTTAGGAGCATTGGTTGTAGAGAAAGACCTATATTTTCTAGACCAGACGGCACTTTGTGGGTGATTTGGTCAGCATCACGCCGACCGCCTTTACTTCTCAGCAGTGTACCTGGTAGCCACTCAAGGCTAAAGTAACCTGGGAGCCAGGGTTATTTTTTAAAAACAGTCCGGCCCCTGTCAGGTCTGAACTGACGACGTTCCGATCCGAAGGCGAGCGTCTAGCCGCTAGA